TATCTGTGTGTGCAGTTGTGCATATTTGTATGTTTGTGTGAATGTGCATGTGTTGCCTATTTTAATACATTTAGGCAGTATTAAGCTGGAGATGGGACAGCTAGGTGGTGCAGTGGATAGAGTGCTGGGCCTGGAGTCAGGAAGACTCATCTTCCTGAGTTCAAGTCTGACCTCAGACACTTACTACCTGTGTGACCCTGGGCAAGTCACTTAACCTGTTTGCTTCAGTTTCCTCAACTGGAGCAGGAAATGGCAAACCACTCCAGTATCTTTGCCAAGAAAACCCCAAATGAGGTCACAAAGAGTCAGACATGACTGAAAGAACTAGACATGTGGATGTGGGGTGGAGAAAACTGAAATTTCATAAAACAAAAGAGGTAGGAGGGATTTGTTTCTGGGACTTTACCTGCAGATTGTTTCTCTGCAAGTCCTTTTTAATATCTCTTTTTCCTCAGCTGACTGCATCTCCTCCCATTTCCTCTTCCACCAATACAACCACCAGTCCCAGAACATATCCTGGTTCTATCTGGTCCCTTCTCAGCACTTAGTACAATTTTACCAATTTATTGTATGAATTGCACATACTATTAATATGTGATTAGGGACATCTTGTTAGAGAGGTTTCCTTGGCAGAGTACTTAGGATTGTTATGTTGATTATTTTGATTGAGCTAGGCACATTCTCACAGGTTAATTGCTTCTGCATTCAGAAAGAGAAACTTTTCTCTCCAATACAGTCAGTATGATCAGCAGTGAAAGCTAATTTAGGAAATGCATTTACTATTCTCCAGAAGCACTGCAGAGCATTTAAAAAAGTCATTAGAATTGGTGAAGATGCTCCTGTTTCTTAGACACATTTCATATGGCTGCCAAAGTAATTATCCTAATACATAGGCAAGAAGATCATTGGTATAGGATTTTAAAAGAACTTTGAGATCATTTAGTTCAACTAGTTCATTTTAAAGATGAGGAAATTGAGGTTCAGAGAGGTTAAGTGATTTGCCAGTGGTCACACAGATAATTAGGGCTGGAGCTGGTACTTAAATTCTGTTCTCATGACTCCCAGTTCAGCTTTTTTCTCTCCTTTATACCATCTTTTCATGTCACTCCTCTGTTTGCCATTTTGATTATCTCCCCATTTCCTGGAGGATAAAAGGCAAACTCCCCAACCTGATGTTAAGGCCCTCCAAAGTCTGGCTACAACCTACGTTTTGGTCATATTTCATACTCTTTCCTTTTATACATGCTACATTCCCATTAAACTAAATTACTAGCCTCTTTCTCATTTCTTGCCTCTGATGCCTGCATAAAAGAAAATAGTTCAGGGACTATGTTGGCCTCAGAGGAGAAATTCTAAGGAATCAATTCTGGAGGAAGAACGAGCTCTTGAGGAGTATTCTGTCCCTCTCAGCTACTTTTTAAAGACCATGAGAGGCATGGATGACTCTTAGTCATTAAATCATTTGAAGCTCTCTGTGTTCCATCGGTTGGTTTTGCTCAATTACCAACACCTTCTGATGCTATCAGCTTGGTTAGGGAACTCTTTGTTATTCAGTTACTTCAATAACTCTTTTATGCTTTTATGAGGACAATGAAAACTTCCCAATTTGGTCAGGGATTTCCAGGGACATCTTCTCTCCACATTTCTGACTTTGAAATCTTTCTCTTTCTTCAAGGTAAGATCTAGATCTGGTGCTATCTCAATGAAACCTCCCTCCCCACTTCTGTCTTCTCTAAGTGAAAGTCTTTTCTGGCTCTTTTCAAATTTCTTCTAGCACTTTTTCTGGGTCCCTCTTTTGCTTATAAAATTTTTGCCTTGCAAAATATTTATTAGTGTACATGTATTATTCCATTCTATTTTATTATAAATTCCTTAAGGGAAGGGACTTTTTAAAAAAATCTTTGCACCTAGCATTTACCACAATGTGCTGTATGTAGGAGGAACTGAAGTAGGATGCTCCTGCCCCTTTATTCTAGACAATGTAAATGAGATTGCAGTGGGCTAAAAGAGTATTTCTGATGGGGTCTAGAGATTTAGGGGTGCTGGGACCCCAAGATCACAACACATGGGTCCTGCCCAAAAGAATTTGACCAAAGCCTTCTTTCAGCCAAAGACAAGGTTTATTAAAGATCTGCTATATTGACCAGACTCTTTAGGAATCTGAGCACCTGTGAGCTGTTGGCTAGATTGTAAAAATCTGAGCAGTGGCTAGATTCTAAGAATCTGAGCACCTTAGTGGAGACAAGATGGACCTCATATACAGAAAGACTGTGGGAGGGATCTAGGAGTGGCCAAGTAGTTTGGGGTGACTAGAGGAGGAGTCTAAGGAAAATCTCAATGGGAGTGGCCAGTAAACTGGGGTGAACAGAATTCTTGGGACCTGGACCTAGTGGCCAAGAGAGAATGGAGCCTAGCTCAGATTAAGGATGGGAAATGGCAATAGGGAGGACTAGGCTAAGTTAAGGGTAACAGAATTGGGACATTGGGCATAGCCACAATGAAAGGCCGATTGATGGGATTATAGCCTCAGGCACATGCTAGAAATTTGGCCATATGGGAAAGTCCAAGGGTTTTCCTTTTTGAGGTCTAGCTCCCATCCTCATCATTTCCTTTATACTGTGTAGGTCTTCAAGTATCTTCCTACTTCCCTAATTCTCAAGGATAAACTTGGGAAAGGGATACTTTTTACTGGACTGGCTTCAGGAGACTTCAGTCTGGCTTTAGGAAACAGGGTGCCAGCTTTAACCTCAGCTGCAGTTTCTGCTAGCATTTCAGTGGAAGCACTTCATCCTAACAAGGAATATGTATTGAGAACATAGACCATGAGCTGCTGTCACACTTAGAGGTCCCAGAACTTAAGAAATTTTTGTTTTAAGAAGGGTGTCATCATTTTGGATTCATGGACCAGTGAACCATTACATATGGTAGGGGTAGAGAAAGTGGAGCTTCTCTGATGCTTTGTCTGTTTCTCAGTGAAGATCTTTTTGGCAGAGACACTTTGGGTGCACAGTGTCTGGATTTTGAGGAGGAGGTTGGAGCTATTTTTTAATTTTGTGGTTTTCTCATGGAATAAGTCAGTTTCCAGCCATTCATTGACTTTGACTTCCTTTAGCAGAGAGCCAAGAGTCAAGATTAACAATAACAATAATAACTAGCATTTATACAGAGTTTTCAGATTTGCAAAGTGCTATAAAATATCATCTCATCTGATACTCACAAAAACCCTGGAAGGTAGGTGCTATTATTAATCCCATTTTATAGATAAGGAAAATGAGGTAGAAGGAGATTTAATGATTTGCCTAGGGTCACACAGTTATTGTGTCTGAAGCCAGATTTGAACTACAGTCTTCCTCACTTCAGGTCCAGCACTATGTCAGCACTGTGTCATCTAACTACCACCTAAATGAGGGGAAAATGGGAATTTCGAGCTTTTGGTTAATTTCTTCTTCCTGACGTCACAGTGCCCCATGCAGGGTAGTTTTAGAGTGGCCGTTCCTGGCTTCTTGAACCATTCCACAGAATCTATTGTTGAATTCTGGTGACCTTGTTGTGATATCCCATAAGAGCTTATTTTCCATATGAAAAGTGCTTAAAACTTTACAGGGAAATCCCCCCACCCCCGCCTCCATGGAGGCTGATATTTAGCAGAGAATGGAACTTCAGGTGTAATATTTGAGTCAGTCACCTTTCTAATACGTCTCAGATAAGACCAATCTCTGAAAGAGACGTGTATTTGAAAGAGAGCCATGGACAGGGATTCTCTGCTGCATCTTTTGTTTTTGCTGCATATCGCAGGAAACAGGCACCCCCAGTAAGGAAAAAAGCATCCCCAGGACCCAATAGCCATTGAGATCTTGGGAATTTCCTGGGAATAGTTTAGGAGCAGGAAATTTCTTTCATGTTCCACCCACTTCTTTGGATTTCATGTCCATCTTCTGGGAAATTCTTAGCAGAATTTTAAAATTATCTCAGGGTTCCAGGCTCCTCGAAGCAAGGGAGGAGGATGTAACTCCCCAGCTTAGGAGTCTTCCCAGATTCAGCTGCTTTGTTCTTAATGGATGTTAAGGAGTCCAGTGTTTCCCAAACACTGACCAATATGCTTTCCCCTCCTAAGCCCTACAAAAATAGAGACAAAAACCAAGACTTGTTTTGGCTACTTATAATGATGCTTCACATTTATTTGGGCTCAAGCACTCTCCTCACAACCACATTGTGAGGTAAGGAGACAAGTATTGCTATCCCCATTTTACTGAGAGGGAAGCTGAGACTCAGTGACATAAAGCACCTGGGTTGCATAGGTAGTGTCAGAGCCAGAAGCAGAATCCGCTGACTTCTGGCCTCAAGACAAGTACACAAAGCTTCTTCTGTGAGAAAGAAATAGACAACAGGCAAAGTCTGTGGCTGTCCACTTGCCAGGACAGGTGTAGGATACAACACAGTGTTTTTACTGTTCTTAGAGACACGTTCCTTTCTTGAGTGTGGTGGACCTGAATCTTCAGCTAAGGTCCTGGCCAGCCTTTTTTTAAAAAAAAATTATTTTATTTTCATTTCATGGAACAAAATGAGCACTTCCAAAACAGTACAATACAAAAGATGATTGCACATGAAACCATGAAACTGCAAATCTACCGTGTACAACTTGCCATGCTTTCCAAATATACAATAATGTTATCGTGTAAATTTCTTTCTTTCTTTCTTTTTTTAAATTTCATCTTTTTATTCCTACACAGGAATAAGGCACCTAGAGGTAGCTAGGTGGTAGAGTAGATTGAGTGCTAGCGGGCCAGCCTTTTACCGTTATCTGTGCGTCTGTCCCTGAGATCCCTAGGCGGCGCTGCTTCCCTCCTGCCTCGCCCGGCTGTCTTTTCCCAGACGGCAGATAAGCCACATTTAAGGCTTGCTCTGAGCCGGCTCACCCAGTGTAGATTTCAATCTGGAGAAGGAAGACGAACATTAGCCCATTTCGTACATTTTCGGCGGCCGTAGGGTCGGCTGTCGGCTGAGGCTGTTTCTCCAGTGCCGGGTGAGCTCAACCCGGAGAATGGTCCCGGTCGCTGCGCTCTAAGGAATGAGCCAGAGAGGCAGGATGTTGAGCTGGGTGGTGGTTCTCTGCTTGTGCGCCAGCTCCTGTAGCTCAAGACATCTGGAGTACTCGGTGTTCGAGGAGACGGAGCGCGGCGTGACCGTGGCGAACGTCGCCGCCGACTTAGGGTTGGCAGCAGGCACGCTTATTTTCCGGAAATTTCGCCTCCTTTCCAGCAACGGCGGCGAGCCGTACTTCGGGATGGAGCCGAGCAGCGGCAGCCTGTTCGTCCGGGAGCCGGCGGACCGCGAGCGGCTTTGCGGAGCCAAGGCTACTTGCATTCTCAACTATGAGCTAGTGCTCAAAGAGCCATTGGAGCTTCACAGGATGAGCGTCCGAATTCTGGACCTCAATGACAACCCTCCTTGCTTCCTCGAAGGCGAGGTGCGGCTTCACCTCGCAGAGTTCCTAGCTCCGGGAGCCCGCTTCACACTTCCCAACGCCCAGGACGCAGATGAAGGAACCAACGGGCTCCTGAGCTACTCGCTGAGTCCTAGCGAGCACTTCCGCCTGGAGTTGGGGAGCCGGACTGATGGCAGCGAGTATCCAGAGCTGGTGCTGGATAAATCGTTGGATCGTGAGCTGCGTGCCACCCACAGGCTGGTGCTGACCGCTCGGGATGGGGGTCGGCCGGGTCGTTCCGGGTCTGTCCAGGTCACAGTCACCGTTGTGGACACCAATGACAACGCACCCGAATTTCAGCGCTCAGTGTATCGGGCCAGGGTCCCAGAGACAGCGCCCAACGGGACTGTGCTGATCCAAGTGCAAGCCTCGGACCCTGATGAAGGTCCCAACGGGGAGGTCCGGTACGCCTTCAGCAACAGCACTCCAGCAGAACTGCGGCATCAGTTTCGAGTGCATTCCCACAGCGGGGAGGTGATTGTGGTGGCGCCGCTCGGGCCCCCAGACACGCTGCTGGAGATATTCATCGAAGCAAGAGACGATGGAGCGTTTAGCCTGGCCAGCACTGCCAAGCTGCTAGTGGAAGTGACCGACGTGAACGACCACGCCCCAGAGGTGAGCATCACGTCACTCTCCAGTCCAGTGCCCGAGGACGCGCCTCCGGGCACTGTGATCGCTCTACTGAGTGTACGAGATGAAGATCGAGGTCCAAATGCGAGGGTGACCTGCACCATACAAAGCAGCGGCCCCTTCCAGCTACACCCTTCCTTCGACAACTACTACAGTCTGTTAACTGATGGACCGTTAGACCGGGAACAGACCAGCGAGTACCAGGTCATAATCATCGCTTCCGACGGCGGCTCTCCTTCGCTAACCACGCGCAGGACCGTGACCGTGCTCGTGGAGGATGTGAATGACCACGCGCCAAGCTTTCCTTTGCCCCAGCAGGAGTTCTTCGTGGCGGAAAACAACGGCGCTGGGGCCTCGTTGGGCCGCGTGTTCGCCCAGGACCCGGATCTGAGTCAGAACGGCCTTGTGACCTACTTGCTGCGGGACCTTCACTCAGACAGACCTCTGGCCTCCAGCCTGGTGGAAGTGGAGTCGACAAGTGGAGCCATCACTGCCAAAACTTCCTTTGACTTCGAGCAGCTCAAGTCATTTCACTTCGTGGTGGAAGCCTTGGATGGCGGCATTCCTGCCAGGAGCACAGAGGTGACGGTCAGCGTGTTCATCATGGACAGGAATGACAATCCCCCAGCCATCTTATATCCCGTGGTCAGAAACGGCTCAGTCCCAGTAGAAATTGTGCCCCGTCAGGCCAAAACGGGGCACTTGGTCGCCAAGGTAGTAGCCGAAGATGCGGACAGTGGGCCAAACGCTTGGCTTTCCTACCATGTCCTGCAGGTTTCGGACCTGAGCCTTTTTGCTATCTCCCCTAACACAGGAGAGCTCCGGACACTGCGCCCCATTCTGCCAGCAGATGCAGTAAAGCAGAAAGTGGTAATCGTGGTTCAGGACCACGGGGATCCTCCCCTCTCCTCCTCGGTCACTTTGGGTGTACTGTTGGTAGACTCTCCCCCACAGGTCATTCCTGACTTCGGGGACGGATGGGAAACACGTGGACAGCTTTCGGCCCCTAATTTGTATTTAGTAATAGCCCTTGCGTGCATTTCCTTTCTGTTTCTGGGGTGTTTAGTCTTCTTCATTTGCATCAAGTGGAACCAAGACCGAGCTCGCGGCTCTCATAGCTGTTGCCCTTCGCTCGCTGTTGCTCCCCAGAGTCGTACCAACGTCGAAAGAAGATACCTCAGAACCCTGGCCTGACGTCTGCCACCATCGACGTCACTGCAGTGGGGAGGCTTTCTCAAACCTACCTCTACCAGGCTTCTCTGGGGTTTGGTTCCAGCAATAACAATTTACTGTTTCGTGGAGAATACAGCACAGCAGACCTGAGGAATATAGTCAATGGGGTTGGATTGAATTTGCCTGTATCCTGTATTCAGATTCGAAACAGAAAAGGGGACCATGCACATGACAATGCTATGGTAAGCTAGTGCTATAAAGAAATGATTCCCACTTTTTTGGGTTCTCTTGTCTGACATTAAAGAAGAGGTTGGACTAGATACCTCCAATCCAGTTTTAAGATTCTGTGATTCTAAGACACTAGTTATGGACAGATATGAATGCAGAGAGGATTCCTCATTTGATTTTTTTCCTGTTAAATTTTTGAGTTTTTTTCCCCCAAGCAGCAAAAGTCCTCCCTCTCCTTTCCCCCTTCCTCTCCCCAACTGAGAAAGAAAGAAAAACAAAACCCCTGTTGCAAAGTCAAGCAAAACAAATTCCCCTATTGCCCACGTCCACAAAAAATGTATTTATTTGCAGTCTGAGTTCATCACCTCTCTGTCCAATTTAAAAATTCAACCTCGGGCTGCTGTCCAGTAACTAAGTTCTGAAATGAAACGACCGTAACAGAGTTGAGTGGCCAGTAACAATTAATTCAGCAGCATTCACTTCAACAGATAACTCACATGCTACATAATTAGTATTGTTCTAGAAACTGGGAGAGTGGAAAAGAAGTAGAAGACATGGTTCCCGGCCTCAAGGAACTTATAATCTTTTTTTTAAAAGGAACTTATAATCTTGTAGGGGAAATAAATTTAGTACCTGTAAATAATTTCTTTTTTATTTGGGCCCATGATTTACCCATGCAGAGAATTCTTAGTATGGAAAACTCCCTTCACTGAAGCCTAAAGGCAATTCATCTGCAAGTAATAATTTTTTTTTTAGTGAGTTTCCTGAAGCAGTGAGAGGTTAGCTTGCCTACTATCTTATAGCTAGTATGATGCATATAGTATTAAGAAGCCAATTCTTCCTAACTTCAAGGCAAATCACCAGCCATGCTACTTCTCATCCAAAAATATAGTGGAACAATAGATGTGAAGTGGAATTTAGTAAGATGCTGTAATGTATGATAAAGACAAATATATGTTCCAGCAGATTGAGAAGAATCTAGATAAATATTGTCTGGAATTATCAGAGATGTGTTCAAGGAGGAGGTGAGAATTTGAGGTGAATCTTAATAAATTGATAGGCCATTTCCTCAGAATTCTTTATGTAAGCATTTAGAAAAATGAATGAGGATGCAATCCAATATGCATTTTGATAGTTTCTGAAGGGAATTCTATATCCAGCCATGGACTTAAATGAGGTTTAAAGAACATTTAAAAAATCACATGGTATCTGGTGTATTACAGGAAGAATAGGAAAAAGTAAATTTTGGTGAAACATCTTTCAGTAGTTTTAAATCTTTCCAATAATTAATTAAAATAATAGCATTTTCTGCAAAATGCTGAAAGATGAACAAATGTTTTATCTTATTTTTTCATGAATTCTGACTTGGTAAAGCAGATGTCCTTGAACTGCATGCCAAAGTATATAGAATCATCTAGTCCAACTCTCTTAGTTTTACAGATGAGAAAAATGAAGCACAAAGAGGATGGGAATTGCTCAAGATCACATCAGTATTAGAGACAGAGGTGGGATTTGAACCCAGGGCCTTTAATTCCAAATCCAGTGTCTTTTCCATTGTACCCTGCTGCCTTTCACATTACATTTAGTAGTTGTAAAGTATTCTTATGCATTCATGGAAGCTATCAGTTAGAGTCAATGAACTCTTGTATTTTTAGAAAGATTCCAACAGTAAAGATCTGATCATTTAAAAATTGGCATTCTTTATGAGGGAGAAAGGTAAGAGATAGATATAGATAAGGATGGTTTTGTTGGATAGTGCCATTCAAAGCCTATTAAAATAGAATCTAGTCATTTGGAATGAGTTTTTAATTATTTCATAGGTCAAATGTATTAAAAAATAACAAAATTTTGAGACAGCTAACTGTGAACTCAGTAAGAATTAAATTAGACAAATATCCTGCAGTACATAGGTCACCCCTTGCTGCTTAGATAGATATGCAGAGAAGAGTCACAGAAGACATTGTCATAGCAATTCTGACATTCCACTTCCTGTTTTCACTGCAATGACAATAAGGTGTAAATCTAGATGTAAAAGAAAATCAAGTAAGAGATAGAGGAAGATTTTTTCCTCTGTGGTTTTGAAGGGTGTGTTATTTTCACCTTCAAGTGAAAAAACCCCCACAATCAAACTAAAGTTAATCTCTAAGTGTCAACTGAAACCTGAAGATGTAGAATCTTCTAAACTACTAAAAGCATTGTTCATGAGTCATAACTTATGTCACTAATCTCATTTAACTTAAGGAAAAATGCTTCCATCTGAGTCTAGCTTCCACAGCATATCCAATTTCTGAAGTGTGAAAAACATGATAAAAGCTAGTGAATTATCACGTAAAGTTTGTGGGAAATGTCGAGTATAATCTAAGTCACTTTTTAAAAAATTGACCAGTTATAATAATAAAATGTCAGGTACAGAATCACTTAATGTCATTCATTCTTCTTTTTGCCAAAGAAATTAGTGATATATTGTTTCATGTAGTTAATTTCTGAAAGATTAAGACATAACAAGGGGAGCTGAAGAAAGGAGTAATGGGAGTTAAGAGAAGGATGATTTCAGAAACATTGTCAGACTGGTATGAACTATAAGAAGATGACAGTGAGTATAGAAGCTGAAGGGAGAAACAAACATTTAATGGAAAATCTTTGCAGCCTAGAATTGGGGCCATAAGAAATTTTCTTGTATTCCTTTACTATGCAGGTTTCATTTGCCCACCCAGGTATACCAATTTCATTTAAGAGATGAGTGCTGAGACACTTACTACCTTTTGGACTCTGGATAAATCACTTAACTTCTCCCTGCCTCACTTGCCTCTACTGTAAGATGAGGATAGTAATAGCACCTACCTCACAGGATTGTAAGGATCAAATGAATCAATATTTGTAAATGGAGTGCCTAGGTATGTACATAAATGTGTATTCACCTTTCCTTTACCTAAGACATTATAAATAATGCTATTCATATATATATATATATATATATATATATATATATACACACACACACATACATACATATACGTATATATACATATATATGTATATATATACATATATACACGTATATATATGTATATATATATACACACATATATGTATATACATACATATATATATATGAAGCACCCCTCACTAACAGCTGATTGAGAGATCTGTTTCATCATTCAGGAGAAGCAGTACTGTGTAGTAAGAAGAGTACTGGACCCAGAATCAAGACAGACCTGGGTTTGAATATTAGCTTCAACATTTGTTAGTTTTGTGATCTTGGGAAAGTTAATAATTTTCTCTGAACCTCAGTTTCTCATCTACAAAATGAAAATGATATTTCTACTACCTGTCTCTTGATTATTGTGAGGAAAGCACTTTGTAAACTGTAAATCATTATTTCAATGAGGGTTTTTTTTGTTGTTGTTATGATGTATGACTTGTGTCAGCTACTAATTTACATCAACTGGGCTGGATATTTCTGTAAGTGGCTTATGGAAAACTGGAGGAATGACTAAAGTTAGCTCTCAATAGCCTGCACATTTGTGAAATTTAAATGGTTATTGTTTACTTTCTTCAGTAGTTGCGTGATGATCTCATTTTTCTTCTCTGGTTCATTCAGAGGTGACATGTGTCACAACTCGTATGAAATCTAATATGTTGGTGAGGTTTGACTTTAAGAGGTAGCGTGGAATTGTGTATAGAGAGATGGCCTCGTTCTGGAAGGACCAGGTTCCAGTCCCACTTTTAACATTTGCTGTGTGACTGACCCTGTAAAAGTTACTTAACCTCTTGCTACTCTAGGTAACTCTCTAGGATGATGGTTTCCAGAACAGTTGCATATCTATGTTGGGGTGTGTGTGGGTTTCCTGTCCAAGAATTACATACATCGATGAAATCCTAGGTATGGATAAAAATAATTACTTTAGTGCCTATTTCTACATGGGATGACAGTCACTCATTTACAAAAATGGAAAAAGCCTGTCATGATGTATACTTAATGTTATATAGACAAAAATTTCAGGTAATTGACTATGTTTTTAAATTTTATTTTATGTTAACTATAAATTTTAGTGGCATGGGCTACTGTAAGCAAATAACTTATTGCCTAATAGTAGTAGCCTAACTACTGGTGGTGAGCCTCTATGTATAGAGTGATTGTTAGAGAGAAAGCTCAGTCTCTGGTGCCATCATGGAAGCCTTTCCGCTTGGTAGAATCTGCCAGAGTTTTGTAAATTTTGAGGACCCATGGCTACTTTCATGATACGATAAGGCATCTGATTAGGACTTTATGAATTCCCTGTGGGGCATATATGGAAGAACGTGGACAGGAAAGTGTGGGAGGCTTCAAACACATGCTGAAGGAGGAGCTGACTGAACACAGTGATGAGATCATGGATCCCATGGAGTATCAACTTGTTGTTATTTTGGTGTTACATGGGCACGGAGTAGTATGTTATTTTTTGTAAATCTTAGGGTGCGAAAATCAGAGAATTCCAGAAATAAAGGCAGGTTCTCATTGTTTTGGATAGCAGGCAGCTAAGTGGCTCAGTGGATAGAGTTCTATGCTTGAGTCAGAAAGACTCCTCTTCATGAGTTCATATCTGGCCTCAGACATTTACTAGCTGCATGTCCCTGGGTAGGTCACTTAACCTTTTTGTTTTAACCTCACTCTCCTCATCTGTAAAATGGGCTGGAGAAATAAATGGAAAACCAGCAGCCAGTATCTTTGCCAAGAAAACTCCAAATGGGGTCATGAAGAGTTGGACATGACTGTACAACAACAAATTATTATTTGGGTGCAATATAACCAAAATGTTATGTGAAACTGAAAATATCATGATTAACTTCTTTCTAAAAACTTATGTTCCAGAGTCTTGGTACATTTGTATCAAGTGCTTAGACTCCTATCCTGCTTTCATTCTGCATAATCACACAGATCCTTCCATTTCAGATTACAAAATATATACATAATATATATGTATATACACACATTTGGCCTAAATTTACATGTTACTACACCTCACCAATCTGA